TTTTATTGTTAATTTATACATTTCAAAATAAAAACTAAGTATATTAACATGAATGAGGATGATAATAATGAAGAACAACAAGTAGAAGAAGAAGAAAAAACTGATAAAAATGATGAGAAAGAACTAAGTTTTGAGCATCACGACGAAACTAATGATCAAACAATTAAACAACTAAGTGATGAAGAAACCAAACTTCAAAATGATTTAGCTAATGAACTTAAATATAATCTAAAAATTCCAATTAATGATGAACTTCCTAATATTGGTCCAACACCATATAAAGTGGCCATTGTTGGAATGAATGAATTAGGATCAGCTACAGCTTTTTTACTTATATGTAGACAAATTGTAACTGATATTATTATTATTGATCGAAATACTAAAAGATTAGCTGGTATAGAAATCATTTTTTGTCAAATAGATAAAATAATTTTGTTTGTTTTCTTTTGTTGCTTATTTCATTTTAGGTGAATATGCTGATTTAAGTACTTGTACAACATTTGTTTCAGGTGTCAATATACAAGCAAGTAATCAATTAGCATCATGTGAAGGTGCTCGTGTTGTTATTCTTTGTGATGTAAATGATGATGATGATGATGCAGGAGTAGAGAAATCAAGTAATATAAAATCATCATCTCAAAATGAAAAAATCTTATCCAATTTTAAAACAATCTCAAGAGCTATTAGTATCTATGGTGTGTATAAAAATTAGCCTCTAATACTGATTGATTCTTAGATATCAATTTATTTATTTTTCTTATTCAATTGTACATGTAATAACAGAGTTAAATTTTTTAAGGCCAAAAAAATTAACATCCATAAACGAAATCATAATTCTATGACTCAAAGTCAACTAATGATATATATTCTTATTCTTCTTAACTTCGAAATAAAAAAATACAGGTTTCAATAATCATATTTACAATACGATATTTAGTGCATACTCGAAAACTTATCATGCTTCTTAAGCATGAATAAGCTTACAGTAATAGTATCAATATATAGTTTCCCTCCACACTACAAACTACACCATGAATCAATCGGAAATCCTACATCTTGTTTTTTTTAACATTTTGTACAAATCGAAGGAATATAAATCTCAATGAATGAATGACGCGATATGTTAACACTAAAATAGTATATATGAAAGTTTTGAGGCTAGATTGTGCATAGTGATCACAACATATGTCGTATTTATTTAGTGTAATGCATATAATAAAATAATAATAATAATAAAAATTCATAAATTACGACAAGTGTCTCAATATGAATACGTGTTTGAGTAATAAAAAGAACCATAAAATAGAAAATATTGATTAGAAAATCAAATCGACATTCTTTTACAATAATTCTAGCTGTTATTTCATTATACTAATTATCACAATAGGTAAAACATTATATAAATATTAACAGTAGACGATTTGTCATCCAAAGATTAAAATTATTCTTTCTTAGTAACAAAGAAAAAAACAAAGAGGTCAAGTAAGCCATACTTGACATTGTAGTATAGTTTATTTTTATTATGTTATTTAATGTATTGTAAAGTCAATACTTCAATATGTAATATTGAATCTCATGAGAAAAAAAAGACACACAAAGTGAACAGAAAACATTAAGTTAATTTTTACTTAAAATTAAGAAGGATCAAACTGGTTTCGATCATTGAAAATTTCTTTGTATCTGTTTATGGTATATCAATAGGATTTATCAGAAATATTTTTTTTGAATAGAAAAAAATCATTAGAAATCAACCCTTAACTTTTTTTTTTAATCTTACTATTATTGATTTTTCGTAATTCTCAATAATTTGAAACTAGTTCCAGTTATTTTTCATATCTCTAACACTTGATAACGATTTCTTTCAAAGAAACTAGTTTGTTCCTTCTTGTTACCAGTTCAAATCTGTAAATATGAAAAACTAAGAATAAGAAAAAATGATTACTGAATTATTTCAACATCTAATCTATTTTTAAAGCATCAGATTGTGTTATGATTATTGCACTACAACCATTTGAAGTAATGACTCGGTTATGTGTTGCTAATAGTATGTTACCATCATATCGTATAATTGCACCAGGAACAATGATTGATTCAGCACATTTCAGGTTTGAAATTCTTTTTTTCATTGTTTTTTTTTTCTTTGTCTAAAATTTTCATTGAAATAGATTGTTAATCGGTGAAAAATTAGACATATCACCAGCAAGTATAACTGGAATAATAATTGGTGGACATGGACATAATAATCTTCCACTATGGAATTCAATAACTATTGGTGGTATACATTTACTTTCAGAAAATTCATCAATAGGAAAATCATATGATAAAGAAAACTGGAATCAACTTCATATTAATGTCAATCAACGACAAGAAGAAATTATTAAAATAAAGGGTTAATAAAAAAATTTTATTAGTTTGTTTATTTTTTTAATCTTTTTCTTATTTTTATTAAAGGAACTGAAGTCTGGTCAATTTCAATGGCATCAAGTGAACTTGTTGAATGTATACTTCGTAATAAACGTGAAATTCATGTAGTTACTGTTAATATTAAAGGTTATTATGATGTTAAAGATGATTTATTTATTTCAATACCGGCTATTATTAATCAAAATGGTGTATCTCATTTAATAACAACAAATTTCTCTAATCATAATAATGAAAATGAATTTTCTACAATAATTCAAAATATACAAATGATCGTAAAAGAAAAACTAAAGAATATTTAAGTAAAAGTAATGAAGAGTTCGATTACGAATACCAAAAAAAATGTCTATAAATATGTGACTTTGATATTCGATCATATAACTTTTATTCTTTTTCTTTCCTTTCTGTTTTATAAAGTTTTATTGATGATGTCTAAAAGAACATATTTGATTGTTTTTTCGATAAGAACTAGCACGCATAAGTGTGAATAAATACTTTTAAACACGATCTAAGATGACAAAAATGATAAATTTATTGTAGAAATGACTTTATTAATTTTTCTATGATATTAAATGAAGCTTTTTTTTT